AAGTTCATATTAAATTACAGCACTCACTGTATACTCCTTCTTAACGATTATTCGGTTTTCGATAAATCTTTCTGCAGTTTGTTAAGGAAATTTTCTAGGATGTATGTGATTATAAAGTACTGGTATATATGTGCAATATTGAAGAAATAAATGGAAAAAAATGCAAAAAACGACATGTCATTGTTTGCATTGAAAACAAATGAAAACTATCATCTGCCAAAAATTTCAATTTACTTATAAAGCTAGATATTATTAGAATATGTATAATAAATTTATGATTATGAATAAGAAAAATGAAATGTCTACATTATTATTGCCAAAAAGCAGCTGGGATGTGCCAGAAATTCAAATAATATAAAATACAGTGTATGTATGACAGATTGAATTATACACATATGAACAAGATATGTCAAATTGATTCACTTAAAATATGTAATTAAGCATTAATCAGGGCCGGTCCTACCTTCAATGCGATGCATGCAAAAAATACGAGTGCACGCCTTAGGGGGCGCCAACACAAGATTCGGATATTAAATTTTCAATATAGTTTTTTTTTTAAAATATAATTTCTTTGCATCTTTTACTAATCTTTCCACAATATTTTTAAAATTCGTAAAAATTTGACTTTATAACAACAAATGGGAAAGTAAAGATGAATACATACAATTCGGCCTTTACGATATCGATTAGGAGAAGTTTAAGATGCAATTTTTGATATGTTAAATAATAAAAAAAATAATTAATTTAGTTCAACATGAAGTACCAGTGTTATGTTATGGTTATGGTTATTTTATACCGTTTAAAAGTCTTCAATTTCCAATATAGTGTGGGAATTGAGACTCAACATTTTATTTAAACCAGTTCTACATTTAACATCGCTCATATTATAAATGTATTTGCATTTTGCCGTGAAGAGTGATTTAAAAAACAATAATTATTATTTTTAGGTGCATGGTAAATATTAGTATATTATATTAAAAAATTGTACACATGGGTACAGGACAAAGTCTGCCGGGTCATCTAGTATACAATAAATATTGAGTATGGCTTTAAAAATTAACCAAATATTTAGATGAAAAGTAAATCTTTTCATGTTTTTTTAATGATTAAATAAATGTATAAGAGGATAATATATTTTTTTATTATACAGTCCTAGGACTGTAGTTCCTGAAGAATGAGTCATTCCATTTGAATTATTTATGAAAATAAAAAAAGGCTTCAGTTCAGAAATTTCAAAATCATAACACACATATATATATATATATATATATATATATATATATACTAACAAACCCGACGAACTCCGTTTCGCCACCAGATGGTTTCGTGAGAAAGATGAAGAAATTTTTTTGTTTGTTTTATATTTGAAAAGGAAAAATTTGATTTTATCACACAACAGTAATGAATTAATTTCGATTACAAAAATGAAGTGGTTTTTAGTTGAACTTCTCTAAGTAAATGAAAGTGAATCCGCAAATTATCCGTTTCATTGAAGTGCTCTTTGGTAAACCACATTTTTTTGTTTTCTGGTCTGACGTTAACACAAACAAAGCGGATGGTTTTCCAACTCGTGAACAGGCAACGTATAACTGCCCATGTGAAAAACAATGATTTTCTAAATAATCTATTTGAAATTTATCCCGCAAACACTAAGCGACTGGCCTTGCGACTTGTTATTGCGATCGCAAGGCGAACTGGAAATTGCAATCGTTTAAAGTCAAACGGAAGACCAGTCGGAATCATTGGTATGTCACCAAATCGACAGCAATTTTTGATTGAATGGTGAAATTCAGTGCCTGTACATCATTATTCTTTGCGGCAAAAATTACTCGTTGACTTAACCAAGCATAATTCTGATAATTCTCACTAATGTCATTACTCTAATTTCTAATTACGGTAGGCGAAGTTCCAGCAATTTGCATTAAGGCACGATGCCATGCACCACTAATTTTCTTAACTATAAACCTTGCGGAGCCCGAGACCTTTGCAACCAATGCAAAATTGTCGAAATCGGTTCGAGCGTTCTGGAGTTATATCGTCAGGAAGGACGGACTTATTTTTATATATATGTATATCTATATCTATATATATATATATATATATATATATATATATTTATTTATTTATTACTATTTACCTGACATATTAGCTAGAGCAGCAAGACAATTCGTATGCAGATATTTATCCCTCATTTTAATCATATTGTATTGTATAGTCCGAATGATTACAAGAATCAATAAACCGCCTAAAGATATTTCAGTCATGCTTCTTTCCGTGTACCAGGGAATAGATTTTAATTGCTACAAAAAAATAAACAATATAATAAATATATTATTAAGTGCATATAAGTGTGCATTCATATAATTACCATTTGGTGTACACTTTTATTAAAACCATCATCTTCGCTCAACATCAATAAAATAATCAAAGACATGTATATGTGATGGGATGTACTATTTGGGGCGTTGTACAAAGTCCTCAATATTGGAACAACCTAGAAAATAATCAAATTAAGTGAATGCTGATTTTGTAAATTAATAAAGCAATAAATTAATTTAATGACTTTTTATAATAACCTATTACTATTAGCGGGGCAGGTAAAAATACCCATCTCAAGGCCTGGTAAACTTTAAAATCGGTTTACATATAATATTGAAAAAGTTAGCTGGTAGTTTTTGTTCAGATTCAATTAATTTAGATTTATTTTATTTACTTAGTATGATTTTATAATTAGTTATGCGTAAAATTAGGGATTTTTTTACATTTCTAAAATATTTCAAACATTTTATTTTGCAGTAAAAAATATAATTTTGAATAAAACTATAGGAACATTTATTTTGTGATAATATTTTTAGCAAGATAGGAATGTTGGATATTTTTTATATTCTTACGAAAATTTTGTCAATTTTACCCCAAACACTTTGTTTTATCTTATATTATATTTATTTACATTGAAAACTAGTTAAAATTTACTAAAATCTAGTGAAAACTGTTATACACACTTGCATATTAAAATTTTGAGTAATTCGTAGTTGATATGCAGACTTTTGATAATTTGCGTTATGTGGATTTACAACATTTTTTTACTTTTTTTCAAATAACTTTTAATTTTCTTCTCGGACATTATAATTTATTTGCATTAGAAAAAACTAGATAGATAAAATTTAATTAAGGGGGTCTTCCTATGTGCTGGGTTGAAAAAATCGATTTTTTTTTCATAAATTGCTCCCTTAACATATCTAGAATACGGTAGTAAAGCGATTTTTGAAAATTCGAAGTCGTTGTAAAGATACAGCAGGTAAAAGAAAGAGATATTTCAATAGTTTTTAACGGGCTTGAAACTTTAAACGCGTTTTTCTCAAAACTGTGTTTTTCGAACTTTCCTCCATTGTATCTCGGAAACGGATATTTAAACGCATGGAATGAACTATTATCAATCGAAAATTTTCAAAACTTCGATTTTTTTATATCAAAAAACAAAAAAACGCCTAATTTGCGCAACTTTTATTTCAAATGTCTATCAAAAATCCAATTTTTTTTATATTCATTTGATTATAGGTCATTCCGTGCTTTTAAGCCTACAAATTAAAACGCCGTTTATTTTTTTTCATCAGATAAGCCGATCAGCCGGAATCGTGGAGGAAGTGGGAGCTCTTTTATTCGAGGCGGGGGTGTTCAGAGCGCTGTAACTCTAGTTTGACTGAATATTTTTAGGTGATATTTTATATTTATACTGTCCAAATATGTGTTAATAAATGATAAAAAACTTGAAGCTCTAAATATTTACTGATCGTAGAAAAAAAAATACTAAAATATCCCTAAAAAACAGTCCGTCACATAGGAAGACCCCCTTAAATATAGTAAAAACTGTTATATACACTTGTATATTGAAATTTTGAATAATTCGTAGTTGAAATGCGGACTTTAGTGCTTGCATAATTTGCATTATTTGGATTTATAACATTTTTTTACGTTTCTTCAAATAACTTTAAATTTTCTTCCCGGACATTATAATTTTTTTACATCTATAATAACTAGATGAAGTCTACTAAAATCTAGTATAAACTTTTATAAACAATTGCATATTGAAATTTTGAAAAATTCGTAGTTGAAATGCAGACTTTAGTATTTCTATAATTCGCTAGAACATTTTTTCACTTTTCTTCAAATAACTTATGATTTTCTTCTCGGACATTATAATTTATTTGCATTAGTAAAAACTAGATAAAATTTACTAAGATCCAGTATAAACTATTTCATATATTTGGATATTAAAATTTTGAATAATTCATGGTTGAAATGCGGACTTCTGTATTTCTATAATTTGCATTATGTATATGATGGAATTTGGAAATTAGGAGTGGAGTCGCATTTTTTTTTACTTTTCTTCAAATTACTTTAAATTTTTATTTCGGATGTTATAACTTGTTTACATTAGTATAAACTAGATAAATTTTCCTAAAATCCAGTAGAAACTGTTATATACACTTGAATATTAAAATTTTGAATAATTCGTAGTTGAAATGCAGGATTTAGTATTTTTATAATTTCTTTCTTTGAATAATTTTTATTTTAATTTCATGCATTATAATTCGTTTACATCTATAAAAACTAGATAAAATATACTAAAATCTAGTAAAAACTGTTATACACACTTGCATATTAAAATTTTGAATAATTCGCCGTTGAAATGCGGACTTTAGTACTTCTTTAATTTGCTTTATGTATATACAGTTTTTGAATTGGGAATCAAGTGACATTTTTTTACATTCTTCAAATAACTTTAAATTTTCTTCTGGGACATTATAATTTGTTTGCATTAGTAAAAACTAGATAAAATTTACTAAATTCCAGTAAAAACTGTTATATACACTTGCATATTACAATTTCGAATAATTCATAGGTAAAATAAAAACGGACTTTAGTATTTCTATAATTTGCATTATGAATATGGAATTTGGAAATTAGGAATGGAGTCGCATTTTTTTACTTTTCTTTAAATAATTTTAAATTTTCTTCTCGGACATTATAATTTCTTTACATTAGTAAAAACTGGATAGAATTTACTGAAATCTAGTAAAAACTGTTATATACACTTTGATATCAAAATTTTGTCTAAGATCAGTTGATATAGCATTATAAAAGCACCCTTCTATTTCAACTATATTATATGTCTCTTTTGTTAAATCGATATTGTTTATTTCTTTCTGAATAAACATTTTTTATAAAATAAACCCCTTCGCTTTTCATAATGCATAATTAACTTCCTTTAGGGCAAGTTATAGTAATCGCAAAAAAATCGATAATGAAAATTTTTGCATTTCTCGACGTTTCAAAGGTTTCTGAATATTTTGGCATACCTTAGAAAAAATGAATGTATGTGTGTGTGTGTGTATGTGTGTGTATGTATGTGCGGATACAAATTTTCGCCGACGATTTCGGGAACACCGATCAATCGATTTGAATAATTCAAAAAACATTCGATTCGTATTGATAAGGAGACGTGCTGATTAGTTTTTGGCAAAGGCAGGCCGAGCCGTTCCGAAGATACGGGGTTTTAAGAGAACGGAGCGTCCGATTTTAATAATTCAAAAAACATTTTACTTGTATTGACAAGGTGAAGAACCGATCAAATTTTCATAAAGGCAGGTCTAGCGGTTTCGGAGATCTAACGAAAAAAGTAAAAAAAAATGCCATTTGGCGGTCCAAAATGATCATTAGAGATTTTAACAATAAGTATAAATTTGGTTTACATTCTTATGGGTTCCGTACCAATGTTTACGCGTTAGACGGCGACGCGGCGCTTACACGGTTTGATATTTCGTCTTTATGCAGTTAAAGCAGTACGATTGCTTTGAAAAAAGTTTAGATCTTTCAAAATATGTCAAAATAAAGGAAACATTTTTTTCAAAAGAAAAAATTAAAAAAAAAAAAAAATAAAAAAAAAAATTTTTTTTCAAAAAAAAGTAATTTTTTGTCTAATTGTTTGTCAAAATTCTTATTTTTCGAAGTAAATTTTTTTCAAAAATGTTAATCGTTTTTAAAAAAATAATAATTTTTGGTACGGGAAGTTCCAGCAATTTGCCTTAAGGCACGATGCCTTAATTGCCTGAAGACAGAATTCCACTTACAGCTAGTTTAAATTTAAAATCACATTTTAAACTTGAATTTCATACAAACTTATAGTGTGCTAAAACATTTTGTACAAACAAATAAAAAAAAATGCACTTACCAACAGGTCTAGATTTTGATTCGTCAGAACAAACTTTTTAAAATTTTGATTTTTATGCAGCAATAAATACAACAAAAGCGTTGCTTGATCCAGGCACACAATGTTGCACAAAGTGTTGAACAATGGTAAGAAGTCGACACGAAAGCTTATTGAGTCATTATTACTAGGATCTAGAAAACAAAATATCATTATATATATTCATATATATATATATATATAGATATATAGAGATATATAGATATATATCTTCATATATATAGAATAGATCTTCATATATATATATATATATATATATATATATATATATATATATATATATATATATGTGTGTGAATTTTTTTTACCATTAGTGTCAACACAACTAAACAAGCAATCTCTATACACGTTCTTCTGAGTTGTACAATGGTTAGTCAACACGAGCAATAACAACAGACTGTGATTTGCTAATGGTGTTGTCTCTCGAAAGTTTTCTGCTAATGCTTCAGGAGAATCAGAATTTAATGCTTGCGTTGTTTGTGATCTCGATTTTGAAAAAGTCAGTAAAGACCAGAGATCTGAAAAATAAAATCTTATATATAAAAATGAATGGTAAAGCGCATAACTCAACAACGCCTGGTCCGATTTGGCCAATTCTTTTTTTAAAATGTTTGTTGAAGTCCAGGGATGGTTCTTACAGCGAGAAAAAATCGAATAATTGCCGAGAAAACCCGAAAAACAACCCTTTTCTTTTTCACATACAAACATTTCTAACTAAAACGTAGAATCAATTTGAGCTTTAATGCTATTATATAAAGTTCATATTAAATTACGAGCACTCACTATATACTCCTCCTAAACAATTTCGGATTTTGATAAATCTTTCTGAAGTTTGTTAAGGAAATTTTCTAGGATGTATGTGGTTATAAAGTACTGGAATGTATATGCAATATTGTAGAAATAAATGGAAAAAATTGTAGATATAAATGGAAAAAAATTGCAAAAAACGACATGTCATTGTTTGCATTGAAAACAAATAAAAACTATCATCTACCAAAAATTTCAATTTACTTATGAACCTAGACAATATCAGAATATGTATAATAAATTTATGATTATGAATAAGAAAAATGAAATGTCTACATTATTATTGCCAAAAAGCAGCTGAGATGTGCCAGAAATTAAGATAATATAAAACACAGTATATGTATGGCAGATTGAATGATACACATATGAACAGGATATGACAAATTAATTCTTTTAAAATATGAAATTAAACATTAATCAGGGCCGGTCCTACCTTTAATGCGATGCATGCGAAAAATACGAGCGCACGCCTTAGGGGGCGCCAACACAAGATTCGGATATTAAATTCTCATTATAGCTTTTTTTCAATATATCATTTCTTTGCATCTTTTACTAATCTTTCCACAATATTTTTAAAATTCTTAAAAATTTCACTTTATACCAACAAATGGGAAAGTAAAGATGAATACAGACAATTCAGCCATCACGATATTGTTTAGGAGAAGTTTAAGATGCAATTTTGGATATCATAAATAATATGGAATTAAATTAATTTAATCCAACATGAAGTACCCAGTGTTATGGTTATGGCTATGTTATACTGTTTAAGACTTCAATTTCCAATATAGTGTGGAAATTGAGACTCATCATTTTATTTGAAGCAGTTCTACATTTAACATCGCTCATATTATAAATGTATATGCATTTTGGCGTGAAGAGTAATTTAAAAAAACAATAATTATTATTTTTAGGTAAATGATAAATATTAGTATATTATAATAAAAAATTGTACACATGGGTACAGGACAAGGTCAGCCGGGTCATCTAGTATAAATATAAAAATACAATTTTAATATAGATTTTTTTATAATTAAATACCTAATACAAAAGATCCTCCGCCTGCGTTTCCAAACATCGAAGGTGGTGCCTTTGTGCAATGACTTATATGTTGCAATAAGGCTCTCGTCAATGGGGCAGCTTTAACACAACACACACCTTGCATAACAGTTCTAAAATAAAATAAAAACACGATGTTATACTATTTAATCGTTTCAGGGGCACAACTAGTGTGAAATTTTCAAAAAATCGAAGTTTCAATTTTTCCATATTTCGATAGAGCATACCTGTAAAAATAACATACCAAAATCTTAAATCGATATCTTAAATAGTTTTTGAGTCACAGCCATTTAAAGAGTATATATATATTACATAGTACAACGATCATTTAATCTTTAAACTCGTTTTTCTCGAAACAGCATTTTCCGAATTTGCTGCAGCGATTACTCAAAAACAAATGATCTGATCACTATCGAATTTTTTTTACATGTTCCATATATAGTTCTCTGTAAAATGAACTATCGATTTTTTGATCGGATCAAAAATCGAATTTTGGCAGTCCAAAAACCACCAAAATTTTGGGTAAAATTCGACTTTTTTTCAAAAACGCCGTCATTTTGTCAATTTTTGATTTTTTTTATTTATCGTAGTTCATTTTACAGACAATATTATCTAGTTCAACGAGAATTATTAACTTCCCGTAGGGTAGTTATAGTAATGGGCCAAAAATCGAAAATGAATTTTTTTGCATTTCTCGACGTTTTGAAGGTTTCTGAACATTTTACTGGCATACCTCAAAAAATATGGATGTGTGTGTATGTGTTTTTTTCGTTGTCCGCATTTTTTTCGTCAACGTTTTCGGGCGCACGGATCAACCGATTTGAATGGTTTAAAAAGCATTCGATTCCTATTAATAGGGAGATGTGCTGATTAGTTTTTGGCAAAGGCAGGTCCAGCCGTTACCGAGATATGGAGCAAAGAATTGCAGAAAATAGAAATCGAGTTTTTGAGAGAACGGAGCACCCGACTTGGATATTTCAAAAAACATTCAATTTGTAATGATTAGGAGAAGAGGTGATTAGTTTTTGGCAAAGGTAGGCCCAGCAGTTTCGGAGATACAGAGCTAAATCTTAAAAAATGGCAGTTTTTGAGAGAACTAAGCGTCCGATTTAAATGATTCAAAGAACATTCTGCTTGTTTCAACAAAATAATTGCTTTTGGAAAAAAAAATTTTGTTTCTAATTTTTTTTTCAAAATTTTGGATTAAAAATTCAAAAAATACCCAGGCTAAGCACAGTCTAGGCGCCACTCTGGTGCAAATGTTTACCCAAGTGCGTTCAGATGTTGATGTAATGGAGCACTTTTCCAATTTTGTGTGAAAAATGTGAAAATGCCGCCAAGCTTAGCGCAGTATAAGTGAAAATGTCGCACAGAATTGTTTGCAAATGCGTTTAGAATGTGACTATACGGGAGCACTTTTTCAATTTTGTGTAAATTAAGCCAACTTTTTTTTTAATTGAATTCGAAATGAAATGACGATTGTTAATGTTCTGGAGATAAATTGATTTATCATTTACATTTGATTTGCTCAGATATAACAAATAAGATAGCAAAAATAATGAAAGTTACAGTATTTGTAATAATATATTTGAAAACGTTTAAAATTTCTCGAATATTTCATTACGGTACGGGAAGTTCCAGCAATTTGCCTTAAGGCACGGTACCATACACCACTAGTATTTTTTAAATTGCATCCACGTAGAAGGCCGGAATTACTGTAACAGTGAAGGGTTTTTTGTCGCGCCGTTGGAGATCGACGATAACTTAAAAAATATTTAATTTTATTCTTCAAAAATTTTACTATGTATTCTTAAAACATGTATAAATATACTCGTAAAATTTTGAAATGATTGATAAAGTAGTTTTTTTAATATAAATTCCCAAAAATCACCTTTTTTTAGGCGGTTACACTAGTTGTGCCGCTTAAGGACAATTTTTGTACTTACTTGTATATCACGGAGTCTTCAGTCTTCTGATTTGAAAAAACATTATTTGTCAGAAGAATTAAGGCACAATTAACAGCTTCCAAATGTAAAGCATAGGTAATATCTCTGAAAAAAAAAACAAAGTTAAATACAATCTTCTTATCTTTAAGTTAATATTTCTATTTATATCTATTTACCTTGTAGGAACTATGGCTATTATATTAATCAAGTCTTCAACAAATGATTCAATGCGTTTGCTAAATCCTTTATTATTTTCTTTAGACACACCATTGATCTGCGTGCTAGTATCTTGCGTTTGTTTGTCAACAATAACATTTGCATTGACATTGTTATCTACATGATTATCTACTTGTTTCTGAGTCTTCAGTTTACCTGAAGCTTCAAAGTGTTGTAGCATTTGGTATTCGGATACAGTTTCTGTTAGATATTTGATGATGCATCTTATGACAAATAATGCATTGAAAGTCTGCCATATTAAGACGTTACTGAAATAATAAAAATATGTTAAATATATATATATATATATATATATATATATATATATATATATATATATATTGTGTATAATATATAAAATTCTTCTGTAATGATTTATGTAAATATACTCCTCCCAATTCTATAGACTGTCCTCTTTTTCTTAAACAACTATCCTTTAATGTTCCAACGATATCTACGCGTTCACAATTATTTTTCAATTATCCTACTCCTAAATCTAATTATCTCTTAAATCGCCTATTCTACTTATGTCCTCCAACTTTAACTTTAACTAATTAATAATGAAATAGATATTCACAACACTTTACTAATCAAATAATCTCCATTTGCACAAGTTAACCTTTTTATTTTCGTTTCAAATATCTCATTATTTTATCTTATTCTGTTTATATAATAATATTGTTACATTCAGCATTATATGTAATTTCATGTTAAGCATTTTATGTTAATAACACATATATTGTAATTTTGTATATATTTTAATTGTTATTCATTATGCAAAATTGTATTTTTGAATCATCTGTGAGCTATATATTTAAATAAATAAATAAATAAATAAATTGTAAATGTATATGTATTTTGGTGTGAAGAGTAATTTAAAAGCAATATATTATTATTTTTAGCTAAATGGTAAATATTAGTATAGGATATTAAAAAATTGTAGACATGGGTACAGGACAACGTATGCCAGGTATCTAGTATATATATATATATATCTATATATATATATATATATATATATATACGTGTATATTTATAATTATGTATCTATTATACTTGTCTGTATTCGTTAATGACAATATCTTCGACGCCTTAGCATGAAACACTTGGATCAGCGTAGAAAATTTTGCTGTATGCGTATCGTACAGCAATAACTTTTGACAAAGCGTTTCGACTCTTGAATCCAACGACAATTGTCTTCCTGCAATAAAGATAAATTTAAACACCATACTTAATCCTTTGATAAGTTATACAAATAGATTGTGCAATGTCCTACTTGTTACAAGGCGGTGTAATGCTAAACGAAAGAAACCTATCCCAAAATTGTCATCCTGGAAATAGTTCCCTCGCCGATGAAACGTACAAGGAATTCATTCGAAGACAAATCGGTTTGTCGACTAACTGAAGTGCCCATTGTAAATATACATAAATCAGAATTCTAACCACACTTGTAAATGGAACACAACAGTGCGCACTATGGATCGGAGCTATATGAGTCTTTTACATTTAATTCACTGGTATCATTTTAATTTAAGATATTAAGAAAATAAGTAGTAAAACATCGTTTTGGTGCTTGCCACGATTTAATACGCAAGCTTTTTCTTTGACAGTAGACGCGACAGTGCAAATGTCAAAATCGGGGTAAATAACACACGTAAACGTCATTGTGTAGGGCGGCGCTGCCAACGGGCACAGAACTAACTAACTGGGAAAAACGAACGAGGAAAGGATAGGACTATGTAAGTGGTAGGATACCATCCTATAATATATATACTAGATGACCCGACAGACGTTATCTATGCATCTAAAATTTCTGATAAAAATTGATCTTGTTGAAAAAAACATTTTTTTTTATTTTTTATTTTCATCTCTAAAACCGCTAAACCTGTCTTACAAAAAACTTTATCAGTTCTTAACTTCATCAATACAAATAAAATGTTTTTTTAAATCATTTAAATCAATAGAATATTCAAATCGGTTACTTCGTGTTCACGATACAAATCATCAACGAAAATTTGTATCCGCGCACACACACACACTCTATGAGTGTACCCATGTCTACAATTCAAAAATTCCAATTTTTTTAATAACCTACACTGATATTTACCAATTACATACATAAAAATTATGATGGTTTTTAACTTCCCGAAAGAGAAGTTCATGTTTTTATAAAAAAAATCCGATTAGCTAGCTAATTTTATGTTTTTTCGACGTTTCAAGCCATTCTGAATCGAATGAGACCAAATCTGGAAAAAGTATGTATGTGTGTGTGTGTGTGTGTGAACAGATTTTTTGCCGTAAATCGACGTTTTCTCAAAAACGGTTGAACCGATATCAAAAATTTAAAAGCCATTCGATGTATCTTGATGAGGACTATTGTTCGTCAGTTTTGTACGATGATCTAGCAGAAAAGTGAAAAATTTTTCGTCCACGTTTTAGCCCGCAATTCTGAATTGATAAGAAGATATTGGTTGGGAATCGTGCTTATTAGTTTTTGGTAAAGATCGGCCGGGCCGTTTTCTTGTAATAGAGTTAAAAACAAAAAAATCGACGATTTTTATTATCATTTTTTTGACGGTAGATACCATAGCGTTCTAGATTATACTAAAATATTATGGCGCTACGACAACTCGTTTAGCTTTAAAAATTGGTCAAAGTTTGCAAAAATTAGTATCGTTTTTTTGGCATTTATCAAAATTAGACCTTCCATCGACGATTGCTCAAAAACGCCTGCACCAATTTCAGAAATTTAAAAGTCATTTGATATATCTCAATGAGGACTATCGTTTGTCAGTTTTGTGCGACGATCGGCCGAGCCGTTTCTTTATAATTTGGAAAAAAGTGTTAAACTTTTCGCCCACATTTAAGCTCATACTACCGAACCGATTTAAAATAATCAAAAACTGTTTGAAAGATAATAGTTGGGAATGATACTGATTTAGGTGAAAATTTACCGAAAAAAAATTTAGGTCAATTTTTATGGAACTTTTTTTGGCGATATATATCATGGTCTTATAAAACTTACTGAAATATTACGGCCTCAGGACAAGTAGTATAATTTTAAAAATTCATCAAAGTTTGAGAAAATGAGTAGTTTTTTTACGTTTGTTAAAATTAAAATTAGACGATTTACTTGGTATAACGATAGTAGTACTTGATCTTAATGAACATATTAAACCATTAAAGTCCCGCGGAAACTGATTCAATTATATAAATTGTTGTTTTTTGAAAATTTGAAAGAAAATACTCAGAGTTAACGTGATCATTCGTTTCCAATGATGTGTAATAGATTAACTCGGAATACTTTTAATCGCTCATAAATTAATTGATTTTTTATTGATTAAGTCGATTATTTACACATATCGGGAAGTTCATGTAACTTGCCTCAAGGCAAGATACCAATTCCGACTAGTTTTCGTACTAATACCTTATACTAGAAATATTTTTTATGGCAAAACAACGTTTGCCGGGTCAGCTAGTATATATATATATATAATATCGATTATATGCCATCCTCTCCGTCATTGATAAATAAGCTCTCCGTTCACCATCCTCCAATTTGCATAGTCAACGGCTCCGGCCGCTCCGTTTACTTCTCTATGTTGTCCGCCGCTCTTTTCTTTCGTTCGTCACCCGCTTTCGTTCCTTCGCTCGCTTTCCCCTCCGCACTTGTCAAAATCTCCGTCCTCTATGTTGGTCACAGATGAACAATACATTTCTCAGTTTAAAAATCCAACATGGCGTCAATCAGAAATTTACTGTGGCCTCTATAATTGCAATCGCTAAAACATATGCGTGGGCTCTATTTTATTAAGTAATATTTTTGTAATTCACCTTGTGTGTTTTGTGCAATGTCCCGTCATGCGACTTCCGGACCTCCGCCGGGCCTCAAACAAATAGATCTCGACCAAATATGGGGCGATCTGCGCGAAGGCGTAGAGCAAGCCTACAATCGGCAGGGCATGTCGAAGGCGCGATACATGGAATTGTATACTCACGTTTATAATTACTGCACCTCGGTGCACCAGCAGAGCGGCAGGGGGGTCAGCGCGACCGCCAACACGAACAGTTGCATGAAAACTCGGAAAAGTCAAAACACTCCGGGGGGAGCGCAATTAGTCGGTCTAGAACTCTACAAAAGACTTAAAGAATTCCTAAGGAACTACTTGGTGGCGCTCCTAAAAGACGGCGTGGATCTCATGGGAGAGGATGTGCTATCGTTTTACACAAAACAATGGGAAGAGTACCAATTTTCGAGCAAAGTTTTGAACGGAATCTGTGCCTATCTGAATCGGCATTGGGTCCGAAGGGAATGCGAAGAGGGCCGCAAGGGCATCTTCGAAATATACCAATTGGCTCTTGTGACGTGGCGCGATAATCTGTTCAAGCAACTAAATAGACAAGTTACTAACGCAGTCCTAAAACTCATCGAAAGAGAAAGGAATGGTGAGACCATTAACACAAGGTTAGTATCAGGTGTTATAAATTGTTATGTCGAATTAGGTTTAAATGAAGATGATGCAAGTGCCCGTGGACAAAACCTTGCAGTGTATAAAGATTCTTTTGAGTCGATATTCTTGGAGGATTCAGAAAGATTTTACACAAATGAAAGTACAGACTTTTTGCGTCAGAACAATGTAACAGAGTATATGAAACGAGCTGAACAGAGATTAATAGAAGAACAACGAAGGGTTCAGGTGTATTTGCATGAAACGACTTTAGGTCGTTTAGCAAAACGTGTGAAAGAGTGTTAATAGAGAAGCATTTAGAGATTTTTCACACAGAGTTTCAGAAATTGCTGGATCTAGATAAAAATACGGATTTAGCTAGAATGTATTTGCTGGTTTCAAGGATTCCTGATGGTTTATGCGAGTTGAGAGCGCTTCTTGAGGCTCATATAGCCGCTCAAGGACACTCGGCTATTGATAAATGTGGTGATGCTGCGTCTACAGATCCTAAAATCTATGTAAACACAATTTTGGACGTTCATAAAAAGTATAATGCTTTGGTGCTTCTGGCTTTCAATAACGACAGTGGTTTTGTTGCTGCTTTGGACAAAGCATGTGGGAAGTTTATAAACAGCAACACTGTAACAACTTCTAGTAAAAGTCCTGAATTGTTAGCCAAATATTGTGACTTGTTGTTGAAAAAATCAAGTAAAAACCCTGAAGAGGCTGAGCTTGAAGATACATTAAATCAAGTGATGGTTGTGTTTAAATATATCGAGGACAAAGACGTTTTTCAAAAATTTATAGTAAAATGTTAGCAAAACGTTTAGTTCAACACATGTCGGCGTCTGACGACGCCGAGGCTTCCATGATATCAAAACTGAAACAAGCCTGCGGTTTCGAGTATACAAGTAAGTTGCAAAGAATGTTCCAAGACATAGGAGTATCCAAAGATCTCAACGATCAATTTAGAAAGCATCTAAACAACTCTCACGAACCATTAGACATAGATTTTAGTATACAAGTATTATCATCAGGATCATGGCCGTTCCAGCAATCTTTCGCCTTCTCACTGCCAACGGAGTTGGAGAGATCTGTCCATAGGTTTTCGACTTTTTATTCAGACCAACACTCGGGAAGAAAATTGAATTGGTTGTACAACATGAGTAAAGGAGAATTGTTAACAAATTGTTTTCGCAACCGGTACACGCTGCAGGCTAGTACATTCCAAATGGCTGTTTATTATTGTACAACCACGAGACGCGTTGGACTGTGCAGCAATTGAAAGACCACACGGGAATAACCAGGATTTTTTGTTGCAAGTGTTGCAGATACTTTTGAAAGCCAAGCTTCTGGTGTCCGAGGACGATGAGTCGATATTAAATCCAAATTCTGTGATAGATTTGTATATGGGATACAAAAATAAGAAATTACGTGTCAACATAAATATTCCTCTCAAGACTGAATTAAAAGTTGAACAAGAATCGACGCACAAGCACATCGAGGAGGACCGAAAGATGCTCATTCAGGCGGCTATAGTGAGAATAATGAAAATGAGGAAAGTCCTAAAGCATCAGCAACTCGTGGCCGAGGTCCTGAACCAGCTCTCGACCAGGTTCAAGCCCAGGGTGCAGGTAATTAAAAAATGTATCGACATATTAATAGAAAAAGAATATTTGGAGCGGGCGGAAGGTCAGAAAGATACTTATAGCTATTTGGCGTGATTGTATGTTACTTGGTGTATGAAATATGTTGTAATATGCCATACATACATATTTATACATGTGATACAAATGCACATATATAACTACAACCTACAACCACAACAAAGTAAACCTTTATATTTATAAATAGGTCATAGAATTGAGATATATTTGTTATTTAGAAATGCGATCCAAAAGAAAGAAACTGATATGATTGTTCATTGTTTGTGTTACAGTTTTTGTTTCGGTTAACTCTATTTTACAATTCACGAAATAGATCTGTTCTCGAGTATCTATTAGGTTTAGTATTAAATAAAACTAAGTTTAACAAAACAATGTTATGTGCATTATATGATCAACAAATTCTTTTGTATAAAACTATGTATAATAAAAATAATTTTTATCTATATCACTCTCTTAATTATTCAATCATCAGAAGCAAGTTTATTTCTAGAATTTTCAGAATTAAAATTATTATAATTGATGAGTGATTTATTAGTAGACTAAACTCCGAATACTCCAAAATAAAGATTTTAAACTAAGAATGAGGGCTCTAAAATAATAAAGAAGACTCTAAATTAGAATTGAGTCCTTTTAAATAAGAATATATTTTGTAAAATAAGAATAAAACCTCTGAAATGAAAATAAAGACTGTAGAGTAAGAATGAGGACTTTGAAATAAAAATAAATTTTGTAAAAAAAAATAAAGACTTTAAAATAAGAATTAATACTCCAAAATAAAAATCAATGATCTGAAAAAAGAATAAAGACTCTAAAATAAGAATGAGGACTTCGAAATGAAAAATTTTGTAAAATAACAATAAGGACTCTAAAATCAAAATAAATATTCTAAAATAAGAATGAGTACTCTGAAATTAAAATAAGAATAAAGACACTATAATAAAAACAAAGACTTTAAAGTAAGAATGAGGACTTTGAAATAAAAATAAATTTTGTATAAAAATAAATAAAGCCTTTAAAATAAGGATAAGTACTCTAAAATGAAAATTCAAGATCTCAAAAAAGAATAAATACTCTAAAATAAAATGAGGACTCTGAAATAAAAACAAGTATTTTAAAATAAAAATAAGGACTTCAGGATACAAAGACTCTTAAATAAAAATAAATGTTCTAAAATAAAAATATTCTAAAATAAAATGAGTACTCTGAAATAAAAATAAATTTTGTAAAATAACAATAACAACTCTGAAAGATTATGAAGTTAGAATGAGGACTTTGAAATAAAAAGAAATTTTGAAAAACAAAAATAAAGACTTCAAAATAAGAATAAGTACTCTAAAATAAAAATTAAGCAACTCAAAAAAGAATAAAGACTCTAAAATAAGAATGAAGACTCTGAAATAAAAATAAGGACTTCAAAATTAAATAAAGGTTCTATAATAAAATAAAGACTGTAAAATAAGAATAAACACTCTAAAATGAAAATTAAGAAACTCAAAAAAGAATAAAGATTCTAAAATAAGAATGAAGACTTTGAAATAAAAATAAAGTTTCTAAAATAAAAATAAATATTCTAAAATAAGAATAAAACTTTAAAAACAGAATGTGTACTCTCCAATAAAAATAAATATTGTAAAATAAGAATAAAGACTCTGAAATAAAATTGAGACTGTATAACAAGAATGAGGACTTTGAAATGAAAATAAATTTTGTAATAAAAATAAAGACTTTAAAATAAGAATTAGTACTCCAAAATAAAAATCAATGATCTCAAAAAAAATAAAACTCTAAAATAAAAATGAGGACTTCAAAATGAAAATAAATTTTGTAAAATAACAATAAAGACTTTATATAAGAATAAAGACTTTAAAATAAGAGTAAGTACTCTAAAATAAAAATAAATATTCTAGAGTAAGAATGAGTACTCAGAAATAATTTTTTTTGTAAAATAACAATAAAGACTCTGAAATAAAAATAAAGACTGTGAAATAAGAATAAAGACTCGGAAATAAAAAAAAGATTATGAAGTTAGAATGAGGACTTTGAAATAGAATAAAAGACACTAAAATAAAACAAGTCTGCAAAGTAAGAATGATGACTTTGAAATGGAAATAAATATTCTAAATAAAAATATGGAATAAGTACTCATATTGTAGAATAAGAATGGAACTTTAATATAAAAATAAATTCTCTGAAATAAAAATAATGGTTCTAAAATAAAAATAAGGTTCTCAAAGGAAAATTAAAGGCTCTAAAATAAAAATAAACATTCCAAAATAAGATAAAGTTCTCTTAAATAAAAATAAAAACTCTAAAATTAAAATAAATATCCTAAAATAACAATAAGAGCTCTGAAATAAAAATAAAATGTCTAAAACTAAAATGAGGACCCACTAGAAAAAAATAAAGTCTTTAAAAGTATCAGCATAAAATCGGTGTTATTTCCGAAAGATAAGTTTATTCTTTCTAGAAACACGGATTTGCCAATTTTATATTCTAAATCCTTTTGAATCGTTTGACACCGAAATTGGAAAATTAATCTTTGGTCCGAATTTTTCTCAAAAACGGCTGCACCAATTTTAAAAATATAAAAAAAATAATAAACACATTGAAAAAATGTTTTAAACAAATAGAAGATGTATTTATATACATACTCTGTTTATTCAATCATCGAATACAATTTTCTTGCCTTGGAAAGCAGTAATGCGGTTTAAGTTTTTTCTTAGCTTCCCACGAAGGATGTAAAGACACTTCTTGTTTTATTTCTGGAACAGCCTTTTTATTAACAGACTTATTAAATTTAGAATCATCCTTATCCATTTTATTCTTAGACTTAAAATCAACCTTATCAAATTTAGGTTTCTTATCCTTATTAAATTAAAATCATTCTTCTCAATTTTATTGTGATTGAATTTCGAATCCTTCTTCTGCTTGGTAAATGAATCCTTTTTGCTGAATTTGGAGGTCGTTTCTTCACCACATTGCCAAATGTTGTGCACGTCTCTGTTGCCTATTTAGGCCATCGTTATGAATTTGTTCTTTGACTGGTTTTGGTACAAATGTGCTTTCGTAATGGGTTCCTGAATCTGTGATAAAGAAGTCATCCACGGTTTTGGTAAAGGACTCATTTTCTTCGAGGTCATCTTGGGAATATATTCATTGTCATCGTAAGATGATTGTTATCCTGAGACATATCTTCAGAGTCGTCGAATAGTTCAGATTTACTTTTGGTTTTGTTTTAGTCGTAAAGGATTCATCTTGTTCCATGTCCTCAGAGTCGTCCTGTGATTGTTCAGGTAGATTTTTGGGGTTTTGTTTTAGACTTCATACCGCCTTTGTTTTTGGAAACTTTTGGTTATCTGGTGGTGAACCTTTGGTTTTGTTTTAGACTTTGGTTTGTCCCTGTTTTAAAAAGCATCTAAAATAAGAATGAAGACTTTAAAATAAGAATGCGAGTACTCTTAAATAAAAATCAATTTTGTTAAATAAGAATAAGAAATAAAAATTGAGACTGTAAA